GTAAGGGTATCTGAGAAAAGAATTATCAAAAATGTTATGTGTATGAGAAACAGCTGTTTCGTTTGTGTGTTGTAATTAATTTATTTTTATTGTCCTTACAGAATTTTCTATTGCGTATATTAATATATAAATTATACTCAATTTTAATGAAATATTTAAGCTAAATAAAATTCTAACGAAAGTTTGATTTGAAATCATATTACATATAAAAACACAAACAGCCATCAATTTTCGGCTCAGGACTACGTCAGCCACTTGAGTATAGGCGAAGATACATTTATTGATCTTGTATAAAAGCACGGGGTTATCGTCTTGTTGTTTAGGTAAGACAATCTCTGAGTTCATTGGCTAGAATATCATCCTGCATAGTATGCAATGGGTACATCAAATCAAGTAGCATGGTAATTCGAGAGATTGTACACTTGAAGAGTGATACGAATCGACGGAGATAAGATGTGTCTGGAGAACACTTGAACGGCAACCGTGTTTCACGGTGGCTACCGTGCGTACAAGTGTAAGAAGCACTTCTCGTTCCAAGGATTTCAGAATTGAAGATGAGAATTTTCTTGTTATCAATAAACTAATTAAATATCCATTTACGATTGGGAAATATTTTTAAATTAATATTTATCAGAGTCACGATAATAAGATAAATCTTTGTATGAAATGTACTTTTCTCATATTAATGATNGAAATATTGGTCAAATATATTTTGTAGGCAATATAGTATAAAAAACAAAATTTTCCACCCACGAGTCGTAGAACGACTTTCTACCATGATAGATCAAAGTTCGTTCGAAGTCTGCTGGCTGAATTTCAGCGGAAGCGGCGGAATTCGATTGGCCTGTCTCCAACGGAACGGACAAGGAGGCAAAGGAAACAAACGGAGGTTTAATATACTCCTGGGCTTGCCGGCGAATTAATTTCGACGTTGATCAATGTTCCGCGTTCCTACGGGCTGAGGCGTCCCGGACCATTATGCGGAAACGCGTTCGGTTCGTAGCAGCCGGCGAAAATTGATGCCCGTTCCATCTTCCTTCGAGATCGACGAGCGCACGGATTGCGAGCCGCATTTACGTTCTCCAGTTACCATCGCCCGCTTCTAACTCCTCTACCGTGATTAACGTTATTTCTGGCGACTCGCCAAACGCGCGAATTCTGCGGACACTGAAGCGCTACGAAATCGTCTCTATTTCAAAATCGCTGCTGAGATCTTCCCTCAAGCGGTTTTCAACAAAATACACTTGCCGTTTTACAAATATTGATGTTAATCAGCGTGTTCCTTGTAATTTACAATTTCACTAGTCCTTCTGGCTATGCCAAAGGAAACTGGAACTTGAAGCTCTAATATTTAAAAAATTAATAAAATTCTTACTTTTACTTTAGCTTATAACCAGAATAACCTTAATTGGCATCAATAAATTGACTGATTAAAGGATACGAGTGCAATCAGCAATTGAATACCTGCGTGTATCGCGTGCGATAACGATTTCCTGCGCGATACACTTTCGATTCTGATCTAATATTTAAATTATTTATCCTTCTACCAGCACGAAACGCGACTACATGGAAATCATCAGTGTCCTTCTGAAACGAAATCTACTGGAGAACCGTGTCCCCTCGGTTTCCAGCGGCGCGGCTCTAATTGCCGGCGTTGTAACGATTAATACACACCGGTTATTAAAAAGAGGCGAACGTGCGTGCGCCGATACACCTTTCGTCGTGTCCGTGTGTTTATACATTATGGATATCTTTGTGGCAGTGACGTCACCGACATGGACGAACGAATGGGAGGATAAAACCGGACTGACTGGTGGCGTTCTCCGAACGAGACGTTCACCGCATCCACGGCACCGTGGATCGTCTCCGATCCGTGGTGGAAAAAGAGCCGGGACCAAACTGGAATCAAAGCGTGCGTGCAACACAGAAATCGGCCACGCCGCCGGTTCCACGGTCCCGTGCACCCGAACTTCGTCAATCGTGTCGGTCATCCTCGTGGAACAATGCACGGCGTATATTACGGTATTATCGGTACCATTATGTCAGGCTAATTACGCGTTATCTGTTGACCGGCCCGCCGCTGGTACCACCGATCCGCGCAACGGCTGACTTTCATTCTATTGTTTACGTCGATAAAGCTTTTACGACCGCTCTTTGCGTCGACTTTTTGTTTGATGATAATAAGCGAAAATGACTGAGGAGTTTATTGAAGAGACTCGTTATAGCTGTTTGAAATGTTATTCGGACATTGCGATGTTTCAAGAGGTAATAGACGTGAGTAGAATGAGAGGAAATCGGGGTCGGGCAAGAACGTGACAAACCGGGTTTTGGCCGAATCGATTTAAATAAATGTGCGACCCTAAGTCACGAATCAATGAGCCCATACAAATACCACTTGTCAAACTACGATTCGTCAGGTGGACCCGTAATTGAATTAAATTGTAATATTATTTATAAATTGATAGTTAAATAGAACTGGCTATAAAAATTTTATATTAAAGCGCGCGTGTGATGAAGAACTTCTCTATGAGAGTCTTCGGTCAATCACCTAAATCGATCCGCGTTCAATTAGTAGCCACAACGTAAACCGCAGCAGCAACAACACTCGCGTGACACATGTCACAATCTTGTCATATCACCGGTCAACTCGTCGCGTCGCGGAAGCCAGACGACGCAAGACTGTTCCCCGGGCTACGTTTCGTTTCGAATGCCGCCGAAGCGGCTCAGGTTGCCGCTGCGCAACGCCGCGAGCGAGCGCGTCGAAGCCGTACGAGATCGCACGAAATCCGACGACGACACATCGCCCGCTTTATTCGAAACGGCATGATACACGGCGCGTTTTTATTCCTAATTATATTTCCTTTCTTAGTTTTCATTTTTCTTATGAGTTGCACCACATTATTTTTTATACTGGTACAGACGTCGAAAGAGAAAGTAGTGAAGGCTTTGTATAATATTTTTTTGGTAGTACTTACATTAGAGAATCCTCCCAGATTTTCAGTTTCATAATCAGGACAATAATTATACTATACATAACGTTTTATTTACAAACATTAAGCCATGCACACGCTGAAGTTATAATATAATAATAAAACACACATAAAAATAACAGAAATTAATGATTTAAATAATAAACAATAATATTGTACGATTATTATTATAAGCTGTAATAATTGCGACAGTTGTCATTGTCTTATATAATAAAATTTCTATACACAAGTATAAAAATATTTTTGGTCCCATATGTATGTAATATTTGTAACAATACATTGTAATAGGTATAAAACTAGGAAAACGATCAATATATTTCGCATGCTATACTTAAAACATTATAACGTGACAGTAAATAAATTCATTAATGAAGACAACATTAAAGAAAAATTACCTGACTGCTTTTCTCATAAACTTGCTATCAGATGATCTCCAATTGACTGCAGATTTTATATATTTATAAGAATAATGAAGATGAACATGTGATGCATAAAAATAGACAAAATATCAAAAGTTGTTTGCGTACTTCTTAAATGATAAAAAGAAATTTATCAAAAACTGATCACATAAGTTATGTATGAAAATCGTCAGTCTAATCATTATATCAGTGAAAACCAGTTAGCTTGCGTTAGACAGCGGCAGCCGCGTCTCGCTGACATTAGCAACTTCCAGTAGATTGTGTTGCATGGTAAAACGTTCAAAGCATGCAGCTTGTGCGCAATTGCAGTTGCAGCAGCAACCGTTGCTCCTCTCGCCGTTAATCGCAGATGCTTCGACGAAACTCACCTTCCTCGCTTTCTCGAGGAAATCTTGTCCCTCCAGATTCTCCTCCCTCTTCGTCGGTGACATCTCGATCCCGCTGTCTTCGTGATGCCGCGTGTATTCTTTCAACGACAGCGTGATTTCCTTCGATGTGTCCACTGGAATCGCGCGAGACTCCTGGTTTATCTCGCAGGCTCTCGCGAATTTGATTACGCGTTCACCGTCGTTTGTTTTTGTCGACAATTCGTCCCTTCGGCTGTACGAGTCCGCTTTTTAAATTAAATTTGTTTTAATTAATTAAGCAACCTTCACGAATTCTAATCTGCAGCAAGAATTATTTAATAGATACTAATAATATTTAAGTACAATTTTTAATATTCAATAATTGCTCTCTAATCTATTGACTTGTATTTATGTTAGAATGAATTTTTTTAATTCAAGCATTGCATGAAATATAATATGAAATCTTACATTTGGGACTAGAATCGGTTTCATGATGAATTCCGTTAGTTTCCGGAGACACGAGACGCTCGAGATCCATGATTTCTTTAACGTCAACATTTTCTCGATGATCTTGAACAGTATTAGATATCACCTTGTAAGCTGCGATATCCAGTCGAACGTCATGGGACACTCGCAGCGTCGTCATCTCCGTCACTTCCTTCACAACCTTCCCAGTCTTCTCCTGGATCAATGAAAATAATATTGAAACATCAAACAGAAGTGTGAAAAAAAAAATTGCTCTCTGTGATCTTAACAAATAATTTATCGCATGTAGTAAGTCAACGTCAATTACTTCGACAGTTTTTGCCATTGATACCAGTTTGTCAACTTGTTTCTCTCTCCCCGTCTCATGCACTTCCGGTTTGGAAATGTCCATCGACACGTCGCTCCTTTCTATTCTTGGTTCTTTTGAACTTTCCATTTGTTTAATTACAGAAGGGAGAACCGTTCCGTTGCTGGTGGTAAATTTAGATTCCTCAGCGCTCCACCTTTTAATACAATGATATCAGAAAAAATTATCTTCAGATAACGATTTAATATAATTTAGTATTTTAGACAAATTTCTTTACACATTATTCTTTCACAATGCAGTCATTTTTACTGCTTTTGGGCAATATAGGTATATACTAAGTTTCAGTCTTTCTAGTGTTAAAACAAATTATATAAATTATAAATAAATTATGTACATTATCAACAAATTATATACGTTATGAATAAATTACATACATTATAATATACATATACTTCGTATAATACATATATGAGCGAATTACATAAATTGTAATATAAGTATATTATTTTTATGTTACCAGGTATCGCTGACAGAAGTCACGGTTGTTGGAGCACCAAGGTCTTCGCATTCTGGAGTCATGGCGAAGGACCCACTTCTCGATAGAGCCATCGGAGTTGTCGAACACTCGGTGGCAGTCACGTAGTCACCTTCGATATTCGAATCATCGGCTAAACTTTCGTCTAAAGACTTTTCGTTAACGTCCTGTAATCA